GTTATTTTTATTTATTTATTTTATTTATTTTATTTTTTTTATTTTTTTATTTTTTATTTTATTTTATTTTTCTTTATACTACCATTCGTACTATTGGATTTCAACGATGGCATAATTAAATATTATTATAATGGTTGTACACTATCACAATCACTAGCTAATCACATCGAGCGTGCTACTTGAGAACACCCATAATCTCTGCTAGATTTCTCTCCGACCGGTGGTCATGTGACACATCTTTTGTCGGCTGACTATGCATTAACAGATGCATTTTAGCGCTTAGAAGTAATCGTTTTTCGTTGGTGTTACACTATACTAAAATTTGTTTGGTTTGTTGTCTCTTTATGGAAATTGATATTCGTCGGTTTCACCTTTTTTGGTATTTTGGGTATTACGAAATTCAACCGATTGTATGAAGGTACTCTTTTTTTGCGCTAGATTTTTGAGCTCATAGCGCTCAAAAAAAAATTTCGCTTGTCGGGCAGCTGTTGTATATATAGAATAATTTAATTAGATTTATTTAAAAAACAAAACCAAAGATATTCTCTGACTGCATAACAAAAAATATATAGCGTATTTACTAAAATGGTGAATATGTTTAGATCTCCTGAATGCATAAAATTTCTTCTAAATGTAGTTTTATTTTAAAAACAAATAATAAACCTTATGAATTTTTACCATTTCCTCTCTAACAATGCACTGTTGCCATATGGTTCAGTCACGTAACATTTTGAGATTTGACTATAATAGCAAACCTGACCCCATCTAACAAAACGAATGATTACAAAAAAAACTTCACGGCATAGTTAATTATCTATTATGTTGCATTTTATTTTGTTGAAATTTCCATATTGCGCATTGCATTTTTCTAAAAAGAACCATATATAAACTTCTTTAATAAATGCATTGTTATATATATTGTTTTTTTATAAATGCGTTTTTTATTTTTTTTTAATATTTGATATAGTCTCAACAACTCGATCAACAGAGAGTACTTAAAAATAATTATTTCTCTATGCTACGTAATTCCTAAAAAAAAATGAGACCATCTAACAAACAAAAAATCCTTCGATTTTTAGGTTTAACGATCGCTAATAAATGCATATGTCGGGAAAAAAATTGTATTTTAACAAATATAATCAACAGTATACTCTTTGTTAATAAGAAAATATTTCAAAATCACTGTTTATCGCAATTTGTATAAACCCCCTTGATAATTTAAATAAATCTCGCTTCTTAAAAATCTAAAATTATATTATTACGTGTTATCCTTACCCATCTGTTCTTTTAATTGAAATATACAACGATTCTACGCGTAACTTATACAGAAAAATAAATAAAAATATATTATTAAACGATTATTACCGTAAACAAAATATTCTAAATCTATTATTAGGCTTTTTTGTTCGAATCGAATTATCTCTATCTTTTTTTTTCATTCAAAAAAACCTATATAAAGATACGTATTTTTCAATATCGATTGATTTAATAACGAAATAAGAAAAAAAAATTTAATTAACAAGAAAATAATAAATACCTTTTTTTTAAAAAAAAAAAAAAAAGCCATGACATCTATTTTCTGTGCTATATCTTATATCAAAAATGTAACAGGCTCAAGTAAAATCTGTAGCGGAAGTGCTGTGTATAGGACTGGATCCAATGATTTCGTCGAACACATATTTAAAGCTTTTAGGTTCAGCGAAATGATGTTAGTAGAGGAAGTCACAAAAGGCAGCATATCGTTAATAATCGGCCGATTTACTTTTGTTATAGGAGAACTAAATATAAAATAATAAATATATTTGTCATTACTGAATAATTAAAATAACCATTGTTAAAAATTATACAACCGAATCACCTTTTATTTACGTTTATTTATTACTACACGTTCATTTATCCTTTTTTTTTTTTTTACTAAAGTTACGATCGAACAGAATACCCTCTTAAAATTCAAACTTTAGAAGATTACCCGTCAATGTACGATCTCCCCATATCTCCGCCCTTTGGTATTTTCACAGCTCCGGTTCAAGTCCCTAGCACTCCAGAAGGTGATAATGCTGCTTTTCGTCTAAAGTGAGAATCTTATAATGGCGTAACTGCATCCCAAGTTACAATGTCTGTTTTGTGTAAGTATGATCCCAAAGGTCATCATGCTAACGTGGCCGATGCCACGAAATGTCAACCTATAATCTCAGTCGCTAGTGAATTAGTAACGTTGAAAAGATCGGTGTGTGTGCTAAGTGAAGTAATTGAATGGACCAAACCAAGGAAACTCTAAAACCAGTGATGATAAATCAATAAAAGATAGAAAATCAAGAAATGAAGAGTTAGAAAAATTAGTAGAAAAATTTAGTCCACCCCCTAATAAAAAACAACCTCGCAATGTGACAAAGAATATAAACGAAGACCCGCAAGAAGAAAGCTCCTCGAGGGCAAAAAGATTGAAGTCTGCTATAAACCAAGTCAACGAAATTAAAGGTAAGATAATAATAAAAAATTAAAAATAGAAAAAAGAAATAAATAAATCAAATTAAATAAAAAAAAATTAAATAAATAAAAAAAAATAAATAAATAAAAAATAAATAAAAAAATGAAAAACAAAATAAAAATAAATAAATAAAAAATAAAAATATAATCCTCCCTCCAAATAATAGTGTTTGCACCAAACTATCTTTTGCTTTATAAAAAGAAAACTCTGTATCAGCACAACTCCTTTATAGACATGTTTTAAAATCAATTTACCGTGTTATGATTATATAATTGTGTGAGAGAATGACCATAATAATAATAAATAATAAAAAATAATGATAATTATACTAATTTACTATTAATAAATTCAACTAATAACTCAACAATCTAGAAAACGAGAGTGCAGAAGTTCAACATAATACAGAAGTTCAACATAATGCAGAAGTTCAACATAATACAGAAGTTCAACATAATGCAGAAGTTCAACATAATACAGAAGTTCAACATAATGCAGAAGTTCAACATATTTAACTCAATCAGATAAAAATTTCACTGAACAATTACATACCACAGTTGAAACGGATACTGATGGACTATATTCAGATAAAGAACAACCAAATAATTCTGATAATGAAGATACACCCTAAGAATAATAGAATAATCGCCAATAATTTTAATATACCCGATTATCTATTTTTGTATATTCAAAATGCATCTCAATTAAATACTTCCTCTTTGTTTTATCTTTTTTACCTAAACAATGAAAATAAAATGTATTAATTGACTATAAAATTGCATTATATTATTATTAATAATAATAAAACAAAATATCAACCTTGGCCTGTAAATCACATATAAAAAGTATGCCTCGACCGTCATTCCATCGAGTTGATATTGAAAATTCCTTTTGTAAAGTAAATCAAAAAAATAAAAAATAATATTAAAAAAAAAAATACATATATTACCCATCTTAATATACAAATTCTGAATTTACCTGATTTAGTCTACAATTCTAAACATAAGTAGAAACTTGAATTATTCTATTCAATGCTTTTCTATTCATGAATATGAAAACTCAAACACAAGTAACATTACTATCTTCCGGTCTTATACTTATTGTAACAAAATAAACCAATTCATCATGAACAATCCCATGTCAACATCACAACATGACCAATCAACTGATTCACTATTAGTTTTCCTGCCCTGAAGACCATCACCTATATTAAAAAAACTTCTTCATCAATTCAAAACAAAGATTTTGCATGATCACCCTCATATTCCTTGCTGTTACTGTTCGATTTTGATGTATCAGTCCTCAACACAGTGGATAACGTATGATCCAAATAAAAATTACATTTTATTTGTGGCATTTCCTGATATACCTATTTACCTTTGCCATTTTACCAACAAACCTAGTAAAATAGCCATCTGTAGAAGCTGTAAAAACTAAAAACTAGAAGATTTCCCCTGTTCTATCAGACATATCTCGTAAAATAAGCCTGGTACTAATGAAACACAAAAAATATCTTTCACTAATCCACATGACATATTCATTAGCTCACACTCCAGGATCAAATCTCTATACCACATACCGATTTCTACAGGGTAATTTTTTCTTAAGCAAAAACCTCTACGTACTTGAATTATTCTCTAGCATGATTGGTGCTTTCTTAGACCAAAATAAACTAGCATGCTGGTATCATAAAACCCTTCCCATCGCCAGCAATTGGCTAAAATTAAATAATCTGATATTTTGTCAGTACAGCTTTTACCTAATATCACTTCTCCATCTCCATCAAACCTGTCACCAATTCCTTTACTTTTAGCGAGACAATCTCAAGAAAACACTAACACCATTCTATTATAAAACAACTCCACGATCTCTGACCTTGTAATCCCAAACAATAAATTTCCTCCTGAAATACACAACAAAAACCTAAGATATAAAAGACTTATAGCCGGATTTATGAATTTAGACAACTTGACACTACCAGTATCTTATGGTGATCCCAATCTGAAACAATGATTTTTCCTGACCTATTTTCTACTGGAAAAGGTCATTACGAAAACATATGCAGCCAACTAAACCTTCACTCAAGCACAGAGAGCTACAGAAAGTATATCAAACTCAGAATGCTCTGCCCTGATCCAAGATTCAGATTACACTGGTACTGGCTGCACTGGTCATACTTGAATTTAGAAAAAAGATGTAATTTTCAATATAATTGTAGACTACTAAATCAAAAAAGCATATCACAAGAACATCACCCAACAAGAGCTGACCTTATAGGTATACTTATGTTATTTAACTGCTGTTTTCACGGTATTTCATCTCGAGTATATATATATTTATATATGCATATAACATGTATAAATATACGTATACATATACTTATACCTGTATAATCTTTGTATCTTTGAGTTTTTTCCTTTTTTCGAATTACTAATTTAAAAAAAATTCATAATTATTATCCAAAATTTTATCGTATTCACAGCAAAAAGTGTGTATACCAGTCGACCAATAATCGATGAATCAAAAACAACTACTATACGATTGAGCTTAAGAACCACTACCCCTTATTTCAAAAAAAGAAACTCCAGATAAATACAATGCTTTGATCTTACGGTTTGCCACAAATCTTCTACATGATGACCATGGCAGAAGATAAATAGAATCATCTTAAAGAAATTCTATTATCAACTGATAATAGAGACCTATTATCAACAAACCGTCCACTACATGTCTACTTATTCTATCACTATAAACTTACTAATATACGTAAAAAGTTATAAAAAAATACAAAACTAACACAATGGGGTAAACTCAAAAATTATTTCGAGAAAGATGAATTCCAGAATAGAGGCACCATACATACTCATGGCTTCACTTATATGAGTATTAAGATCTCTGAATTAATTGAAAGAAATACAATACGAGCCAACTTACCAGACCAAAATCAGGAACCAGAGCTATATTATTTAGTTACAATATATCAGATTCACAGGTTAACACAATTTATTTTTTTCTTGAACTTCTAACTCGATTTTGTATATATATATATTTTCATAATTTAATCTAAATAGATAAAATAAATATGAATAAATAAAATAAATATGAATAAAGAAAAATAAAATAAAATAAAAAATAAAAAAATAAAAAAAATAAAATAAATAAAATAAATAAATAAAAATAAC